CATGTGGCCAGCATGATGTAATGGACGGCTTTTACCATCCCATCCTGAAGTGGTACCTATTTATCGACTTGCATTTGCGGGCTTTCAAACTGCTAGGTTGGCAGGAGCTGAAGCGAGCAAGGGAGCTCACCCCATCACATGGAGCTCGGGTCTCTAACCCGAGCTTCTGACTTTAAGCCCAATTATCTTAACCACTGAGCCACCAAGCTCCCCCTGCAAGTAATAAGAACTCTCTGAAAATAAAATACAAGTATTCCTTGACTGATAACCATTCGATAAGTTACAGTGGCACTGAAAAAAATGACTTACAACCGGTCTTCCCACTTACAACCGCTGCAACTTCCCCAGAGTCACATGATCAAAATCTGGGTGCTTGGCAACCGGCAGGTATTTACGATAATTACAGCACCCTGGATGTCATGTGATTGTCATTTGGGACCTTCCCAGCCAGTTTCTGACAAGCAAAATCAATGGGGAAAGCCAGATTCGCTGAACAACTTAATGATTCACTTAACAACTGCAGTGCTAATAAAGGTTGTAAAATGAGGCACGGCTCACTTACCTTGCTTCAGAATGGAAATTTCTGGTTCCAACTGTGGTCTTAAGTCAAGGACCACTTGCATCTTATCTTTTACGTCAGGGGTGTCAAACTCAAGGCCCGGGGTGGGCAGATTTGGCCCATAGGGTGCTTAGATCTGACCCACAGGGCTGCCCTGGAAACAGCGAAGGATCGGCCCGCAATGCCTCTGCCAGCGAAAATGGAGCTCGGGACCCCATTTTCGCTGGTAGAGCACTCGGGCCACCAAAGGTGCCCCCAACACGAGTGACGTCGAACTGGCCACACCCACCCCAGCCACACCCATCCCGGCCCCCCGAGGCCAAACACAACCCTGATGCGGCCCTCAATGAAATCGAGTTTGACACCCCTGGTCTGCATTAATCTCTCTAGTGCAAATTAATAAGCAGAGCGACCGCCGTCATCACCCCCTCTTGACAATACAAAAGATGTTTTCAATAACACCCTTTTTAAAGCACCCTTCTCTGCACACTCTGCATTCAAAAAGTATTTTATCAGCTACAAACAAATATACATCAAACACCGAAGTGCTTAGCCTGTATGGAATACCATTACGTCTAATGCTTGTTTTTCTAGGCCGTTTCCTTGGAACTGTAAAGTCTGGTCACGTAAGGTTCGTTTGTTTTTCTTAAATCTGGAAGAGTTCTTTGCGACTTAAGTGAAAAACGTGCAGAAGAAATGTTCCTTTCCAAGGCACACAGCGATACAAGGGCACACATACATTTCTATATAGGGAGGGACTTTCTATCATTATAATTATAGGCAATATAGTCTTTCCAGATTACCTTTCTATAAACTGCTATGGACTCTCAGAAGCTCACAAAATGGTGACCTATTCTCAAATCCAGCTTGAGGCCGTCATTAGGCTGGGCTTGTGAAAAGCTTTCAAAATCCTCTACCAAATTTTAAGGAAATTTGGATTGGACGATTTCTCTGATTCTATGAAACCTTCCCCCAGAGATTCATGTAATTTCAACCCTAATGACGTTCAGAAAAATCTTGGGAAACTTGTTGGTTCTGCCAGTGCTTGGGACAGGATGGTTGCAGAGTTCCCATTGTTTTGGTTTTTTTAATTGTTAGTATGCTGTCTTCTACCAGTTGTCCCTCTATTCTTTCTTTCAGCTATAAATTGTCTAGACGAGACAATTATTAAGGAGCTGGGCAACCTTGAAACTGAATTAAATAAATACATGTAAGTCAGCGGTGGGCTTCTAATATTCTTACCACCAGTTTGCCACGTGCACACTCGCTGCGTGCGCCTTCCGCGCATGTGCCCGCCTTCCGTGCATGCGCTTTGCTCGCTTGCGCGCCTTCTGCACATTCACCCATCCTAGAAAACGTGCCGAAATAGGATGAAATAGAGCCAAGGCGGGTGGGCGCCCCCCGCAATCTCTGTTACCAGTTCGCACGAACTGGCACGAACCGGCTGAATACCGCCTCTGATGTAATTTCCTTCTTCAAGCTCAATAAAAACAGGAAGAGCAATGGGAGGATTTTTCTGCTCAATCGCAGCATCAAAAGGCAAATCTTGAACTGGACCCATGAACTCCAAATTCCATAATTGGAATTTAAAAACCTTCCGCCGCGCCTTAAAGACCTTACTATTTCACCAGGCCGGCCTGGCCTAATTTTCCCCCTCTTTTATAAAAGATTTTTAAAATTTTAAATATCTTTTAGTATTTATATATTCAATTTTAAATTGGTTTTAAAAGTGTGGGGTTTTAAATTTGTCGGGGCCAAAATTATTTAATTTGATTTTATTCTATTTTTTAAATTTTGTATTGTATGTGTTTTTATTGTTTGGCTGTGCACCGCCCTGAGTCCTTCGGGAGTAGGGCGGTATAGAAATCTAATAAATAAATAAATAAATAAATAATTCCTTTCCAAAAATTATACGATTGAAACACTGCAATTGGTGAGATTTTGACATGTTACACAAGGTCTCAAGATGATGCCACCAGAATTGAGTTTGAACAACCTAGTCAGAGTTTAGAATCTGGGAGTGGGGGATCTGTAAATTAGGCTGACAGCGTCTGATCACATAAGAGGCAATGAGATAGAAAAGTTATGGCATATAGCAGGGGTGTCAAACACAAGGCCCGTGGGCCGAATCCGGCCTGTGAGGTGCTTAGATCTGGCCTGCGGGACCTCCCTGGGTCCGTTTTCACTGGCAGAGGGCTAGCAAAACAAGCTAAAAACAAAACAAAAGGAGAAATGTTTCCCCTTTTGCATTTGAGCATGCCAGAAGAAACAGGAAAGGAGAAAGGGAAAGAGGGAAGATAAAGAAAAAGAAGGGAATATTGGAATAGAGCAAGGAAGGAAAAATAAGGAAAGAGGGGAAGGAAGAAGAAAGGAGAATGAAGAGGGAAGGGAAGGGAAGGGAGGGAGGGAGGGAGGGAGGGAGGAAGGAAGGAAGGAAGGAAGGATGGATGGATATAATGAGAGTGAGGGAGGGTCTGAGGGAAGTCCTCCCTTAGCACTTGGCCACCACAGGTGCCCCCAACACAAGTGACATTGAGGTAGCCATGCCCACCCCAGCCACATCCACCACGGCACCCCGAGGTCAAACACAACCGTGATGTGGCCCTCAATGGAATCGAGTTTGACACCCCTGGCATATAGCATCTTTCTCTTATGCAAAGGATTGAGTGGCATACAATTTTAGAGGGATGGTTCAATGTAACTCATTACTTTAATTATCTATCTCTTTTTTTTTTTAACCTATTAAGGGTATATGTATATATCCAGAGGTGGGATTCACTCACCTTCCCTAACGGTTCGCTAATGTGACCATGCGCCTTCCACGCATGCTCTTTGCTCGTGCGCGCGCCTTCCACACATGCACATGGCCTCCAAAAAGGTGGCTAAATAGGACGGCATTACTTCCGCATGAGTGGGCAGGGCCTACCAGTTCGCCCAAACTGGACAAAACCAGCTGAATCCCACCACTGTATATATTGCAAACCTTCAGTTTATTATTATTTATTGGCATCCTTCAGTCTCAAGAGACTATAGTGTCGTGCTCTGGAAAGAGGTCCTAAAACAGTATCTGGTGTGACTAAACAGGCCAATTCAAGAGTGGCAATCCCTTCCACACTGAGGGCAGATACATTCTGTCCCCTGCCCAGCCCCCAGATTTCACTGGTTCCGGGACTGCCTCTTTTCTTCGGCCTGCCGAACAAGTGTCTCTTCTTGATCTGTCCCCGTCTCCACACACACACAGCCAGCCGAGGGTTAAGAAAGCACTTGGCACGCACACAGGTCGTTATCTCAAACTTGGCAACAATATAAGCACCGTCTGCCAAGAGCTTTACTGCAACAGATAACATAAAATTACATACGCATTGTAAATAGTCCAGCAAAAACAATATCCCTTCGGCAGCTTCAGGCATTGTTCAAGTGACTAGCCAAAGTTAGTTTTTGTTCGTCACAGAGTTTTACCAGCCACCACCCTCTCTTATATAGTCTCTGGGGTGTGGTCCAGTGACTCAGTTCTAATCCCTAGCACGCCTCCTTAACTGCTGCAACCGTTTATCACGCCTTCGTTGGCGTGCATCCAGGAACAACGACTCTCCTTCCTCGCTCTCATCCGAGACACCTGGCTCCTGGCTAATCTCCTCTCCCTCAGCCGGCACCTGAGACAGTGCCAGAGGGGAGGGGCCTGGAGAGGGAGGCCTGGCTGACTCCTCTCCCTCATGTTCGGAACCTTCTTCCTCCGATGAGATAGGCTCAGAGGGCGGGGCCACAACACTTCTAATTGTAGAAGGCCATGCTACGTCTTTAGCCTTCAAGCTGAACGATCGGAGGTCAAAGTTTCCCAGTTGTTAATGTCCATTCCCAGAGCCTTTAGGTCCCTCTTACAGATATCCTTATATCGCAGCTGTGGTCTCCCTCTGAGGCGCTTTCCTTGCACTAATTCTCCATTCAGGAGACTTCTTCAAACCTTCAAAGGATTTAATATAGGAGCAAATTTCTCTTCTTCCTCGTGGGTATTTTTTTTTTTTTAACGAGCATGGGACAGTTGCAGTGTCCTGGGGTCACGTGATCACCTTTTGAGATCTTCTGATGAGCAAAGTCAAAGGGGAAGCCAGACTCACTTAACAAGTCAAGAGGTTCCATGCAGTGGTGGGATTCAAAATTTTTTTACTACCGGTTCTGCAGGTGTGGCATGGCTTGGTGGGCGTGGCAGGGGAAGGATACTGTAAAATCTCCATTCCCTCCCCACTCCAGGGGAAGGATACTGCAAAATCCCCATTTTTTCCCGATCAGCTGGGACTCGGGAGGCAGAGAATAGATGGGGGCGGGGCCAGTCAGAGGCGGTATTTACCAGTTCTCCAAACTACTCAAAATTTCTGCTACCGGTTCTCCAGAACTGGTCAGAACCTGCTGAACACAACCTCTGGTTCCATACCTCCCAACTTACCATACTGCGGCTTGTCCCTGATTGTATAGATGATCGCAGAATCACTGGCCCCGAACATCTCGGCTTGCAGATTTCTTTTGGTGATTTGCAACATGCCTCCCTCTGGGACCCAGACGGTAGAGCTGATAACCAGGCGGGGAATGCGGTTGCTCTGCAAAGATCGAAAATGCATAAAGTCGTTAAATTGAAGCGATGAATGGGAGGCGAGGTTGGAAGATAAGAATAGCCCGAGTCTTTTGAGTATTTGTGGAACAGATCTTAAGGTGACATCTTGAAACAAGGCACAGGCTGAATTTCCAAAGGGATGGCAATTTATACCATCACCCAGAGACCAATTGAATGCTCTTACAGTGGCATTGGTTTCTACGAACTTGTCAGGTGCAAGCAATCAGAAGGCAGGATAGAGTTCACAAGCACTATATTTTTATTTTACGTTATGCTCTGTGGGAACTCTCCCTCCTGCCCACCCCGCGCCCCCAAGAATGAAATATTTTGGGGAATATTAAAAGAGACAGAATCTTATATTTCCCCAAAGGAGAACAAAGACAGAAAGCAGCCCCATCAGCCTCCAGCAGATGCCTGAAGTCTTTAGAGATGGATATTTTGTGCCCATTAAGAAATCCGGGGCCAATTATATTCATGAACAAAACATCTTCCGCTCCAGATGATGGGATTAAGAAGGACAAGACACGGCCTTTAGGACATAATACGACCGTGATGGCGAACCTATGCCACGCATGGTGTGTGTGTGTTTGCGCGCGCATTGCATTATGGGTGCGCTCATGCGCGCACTTTCGGCACTGGGTGATGAAACGGTTAGCCATCACTGTAATAGGATTAACCCACCACCAATCAAATAATAAAAGCACACAAAGCAAACCTCAAAATTACAAAATACTGTAAAGCAGGGGTGTCAAACCCGATTTCATTGAGGGCCGCATCAGAGTTGTGTTTGACCTTCGGGAGCACTTGTGTCGGGGGCACCTGTGGTGGCCCGAGCACTCTGCCAGTGAAAACGGTGCTCCATTTTCACTGGCAGAGGCACCATGGGCTGGTCTTTTGCTGTTTCCAGGGCGGCGCCGTAAGCCAGATCTAAGCACCCTGAGGGTCGGATCTGGCCCCTAGGCCTTGAGTTTAGACACCCCTGCTGTAAACTGTATAAAAATCCTTGCACTCATCAACCTAATTTGTCAGCTGACCCAGAACTGCATGCTGTTGTTGGTTCCGCTCATCAATAAACCTTCTTTCCAATCGGCCTCCCATTTTATTTCCAGCGTCTTTCTCTCGGTTTGGAACTGGACCTGATTTTTGTTACTACAACCCATTCCCCACGGAATGGGACAACTTGCCACAACCAACTGCGGCCAACTCGCCACAGGACAATTCGCCATGCCCAACTCGCTGGGGGACAACTTGCTGCAGGGCTATTTAATTTAATTAAATTCAATTTAATTATTTAAAAAAAAAATTAAAAAATTAAAAATTAAAAAAAATATTTTCATTTTTGCAATTCACATTTCATTCTGTCCCTCTTTTTGCATCCTTTCTTTCCACTATTTCTTTGATATTAGTATAAATCTTGTCTTGCAATGAGTTGTCCTCTGGCAAGTTGGTTTGGAGAGGTGCCCTGCAGTGAATTGGCCATGGCATGTTGGCCGTGGAGAGTTGGCTGTGGCGAATTGTCATAGATCCCATTCCCAAAGCACCTTTGTCAGCACTCCAAACTACATTCGTTCCAGTGCTGACATAAGGAGAAGAAGAGGGGGCAGCTGGCAAGAGGACGCTTGACTTTTCACCTACTTATTTTCCCTGAAGATAATATCCCCTAGGAGATGGGATGGGAGGGGGGACATTCCTGGGAGCTGAAGTAGTAGATATGGGATGAGTGATTTGGAAGACGGCCAATGAGATGCAGAGAATTGGGGAACGGAAAGGGAAGGTTTGGGGTCAGGAAGTCAGTGTTGGCTACAACGAAGTCGGGGGACAGATTGTCGTGCTTAATAAATGAAAGATTTCATCAAAGACTATTTGTTTGGAAATGCAATTTATTTGAGACGACACCGAAACCTGACAGCACCATTATTCTTCAAAGATCTAACTCAAATGAATGCAGGAGGAGATGCCCACCTTCTCTGTCACCTTCTATTGCTGGTCAACTCTTGATCTTCTGAGGATCCAGTTCAAGTAATAAAAAGGCCACTTTGGGTCTCTTAGAGTCCAGCAATCTTTGAAAATATCCCAAAGATGTTTTTTTCAAAAGACAACTGGACTTTCTTTTCGTTTTTTCTTTTCTTTTCTTTTTTTTTTTGCTTGAAGACGTTTTGCTTCTCATCCAGAAGCTTCTTCAGTTCTCCAGAAGGGAAAAACAAAAAAAGTCCAATTGCCTTTTGAAAAAGCACCTTTGGGACAACCATGACCTGGATGACTGAGACTCTCCAGATACTTTGAAAATATCTATATTCCATCATTTCGTTGTCAAAGATGGAGAGCTAGTGGTTCAGAGTTGAACTCTGTACTTCTGTGACTTATTCAATCAAATTAAGCAAACAGGCTTAGCTGTGGACTCAGTTAAGTTGTCCACGAGATTTTCCAACAGCTCATTGTGAAAGGTAACCAGAGCAAAGAGGCTATTTTAAGTTACAACTCAGTGGAAATCTGCAAAAAACACGGATGCAGATTAAATCCATTAAACCCCTGTCCTTGATCATTATTATTATAATTAATTTTGCTGTGCTTCTAATTGCTAAGGAATCCTAACGAGCTCATCGGGAACATTTCTGGATGCTCTTTAAGGCTTGGGATGGTAGGTCAATGAGCTCATTAAAGTAGATTGTTTTACTCAGTAGAAAATAGGGAATCTATTCAGAAATCCATCGTGCTTAAAAGCAACCTTGTACAATAGAGTTACCTTATTGTATTAAGGGAGAAATCAGAGAGAGTTGAAATATTTTGAACAATCAAGGAAACTTTTGTAGGAGAAGACCAGGCAGATCCGGGGTGATGGTGGGATTAAATGTGTCATCAGTTTAGAGTCCTTACATTGCCACAAACAATTCAAGTCCAGCCCCCCTTAAATTCCATTGACTTATCTGGTGCCAATTCAGATTTGAATGTTAGTTGACTAACATTCAAATCTAATTCATAATTAGTTGACTATATATAGATCCTTATATATAGGGTTGAGCGATAAATCCTTCTGAATTGCAACGTAATGCTGGACATTAATCTCGTTTAACCCTACCTCCTAGCTCTTCCTGCTCTTTTTTTTTACATATTCCTAAGTATATCCTTTTTTTAAAAAGGGGAATGCCTTAGACTTCACAATGTTTTTCTTCTAGACTTATCTACACCTCATTGCTTGAAAAGGTCACAGTCTATGTTTTTTCAGTACCTGTCTGTAATCAAATATATATCCTGTTATTCCTTTTACAATATATTTTCGGGGTGTTTGGAAACAAAATTGCTAGAGGGGTTCCATTTCAAGGTTAAGCTGAGCTACTTCCCCAGTTCTTACGAGCTAAAATTCCCCTAAAACAGGGGTGAAATGCTCCCGGTTCAGATCGGCTCGGGCGAGTAGGTAGCGATGGCAGTGGACAGTTCGGAGAACCGGTAGCAAAAATCCTTGCCCCCGCCTCTCATGCCCAGCTGAGCCACGTGATCATCAAAGGCTTTTTTTCTTTTAAATGGCTCTGACGATCCAAGCTCTGACGATCCCAGCTGAGTTGCCTGATTGGCAGAGGGTTTTTTAAAAACCCTCTGACGATCAGGCAACTCAGCTGGGATCGTCAGAGTCTTTTGAAAGCATCTTTTTACATGGTTTTTCATGTAAAACATGGTTTTAAAAGTAAAAAAAAAATTGGCCACGCCCACCCAGTCACATTACCCCACCACCACCAAGCCACGCCCACAGAACCGGTAGTAACAAATTTTAGATTTCACCACTGCCCTAAAAGCATCATTTTTCCATAGTTCAAAAAACAACAATAACCTTTTCTGCAATTTTTTTTTATTATTTATTTATTTTTATATGCCGCCCTTCTCCGGAGACTCAGGGCGGCTTACAATGCATTAAGCAATAGCCTTCATACTTTTGTATATTTTATACAAAGTCAGCTTATTGCCCCCACAAACCAGGTCCTCATTTTACCCACCTTAGAAAGGATGGAAGGCTGAGTCGACCTTGAGCCTGGTGAGAATTGAACTCGCAGTAATTGCAGGCAGCTGGATGTTAAATGCTGCCTTAGTAGGAGGCATTAGCCTCCTACGCCACTCAGGCTCCTAACATGTGAGATCAACAGCAATTAAAAAACGATGAAATAAAAAGGAATCGGCTGCTTAAATCAGTTGCGCAGCAATCTGGGAATAATGGACGAGTTTGCTTTTCAGAAACAACTCAGTAACATAACATACAGAGCATGGTGGAAGAGAAAATGTTGCGAGGAAACCACACGCAGATATGTTGCTTAAATAATATTTCTTCGGGGAGAATAGGAAATACAGGTAGTCCTGGATTTATGACCACAATTGAGCCCCAAAATTTCCATTGCTTAGCAAGACAATAGTTAACAGCAATAGCAATTAAAATTACATATCACCCCATAGTGTTTTTACAGTACTCTCTCAGCAGTTTACAAATGTGAGTATATTGCCCCCAACTATCCGGGTCCTCATTTTACTGACCTCGGAAGCAGTGGTGAAATTTAAAATTTGTTACTACTGGTACTGTGGGCGTGGCTTGGTAGGGGGGGGTAATGTGACAATGTGGCATGGCCAACATTTTTTTTTCTTTTAAAAGCATTTTTTCTTACAATCTTAAGAGGTTGCAGAAAAAAATGCTTTTAAAAGCCTCTGACGATCCCAGCTGAGCTTGTCAGAGGCTTTTTTTTTTACTTTTAAAAGCATTTTTTTTGGCCGAAGAGGTTGTAGAAAAAATGCTTTTAAAAATAAAGAAAAAGCCTTTGCTGATTGCGCGGCTCAGCTGGGCATGGGGTGTGGGCAGGGATTTTTGCTACCGGTTTTCCAAACCACCCGCTGCTACCGCTACTGGATCGGGCGATCCGGTTCGAACCAGGAGCATTTCACCCCTGCTCGGAAGGATGCAAAACTGAGTCAACTTTGAGCATGTCAGGATCGAATTCCAGGCTGTGGACC